CCCTCTTCTTATTCCCCTCTCCTCTTTATCCCCCCTCCCCTCTTCTTATCCCCCCTTCTTATTCCCCCCTCTTCTTATTCCCCTCCCTCCCCTCTTCTTACCCCCTCCCCTCCTCCCTCTCTTCTTACCCCCTCCCCTGTAGCGTGGCCGAGCTGCTCTGCTGTCCGCGGTGCCCGGCCGGACTGATAGGAAGGTGCACACTCAGTGTGCACTTCCTGTCAGTCCGGTCGGTAACAGGAAACAGAAACTCCGCGCGGAACAGGAGTTTCTGTTTCATGTAACCGGCCAGACTGACAGGAAGTGCACACTCAGTGTGCACCCTCCTATCACTCCGGCCGGCTGGCCGGCCACCGCGGACCGGAGTGCAGCTCGGCCACGCTACAGGGGAGGGGAGGGGAGAAGCTGCAGCCACCTGAGGCTCTTAACAGAGCGCTCAGGCGGCTGCAGTATTTAAAGGGCCGGCCCGCCGCGGCCGGCCTTACAGGAATTTAGGGCGGCCTGGGGGGCAATTGCCTCCCTGCCCCCCGGCCCAGCCCGCCCCTGCCCTCAAGTGTTGCTACTCCCATTTCTGTCTGCCTCCACGTTAATGGTGCTACCATCAACTCCACCATGCAGACTCACTGCCTAGGTGTTCTCTTTGTTTCCGACCTCTCCTTCACCCCTCATGTCCAGTCTATTGCCAAATCCTGACGCTTCTATTTTTAAAACATTGCACGCACCTACTTAACGCCAGATGCTGTGAAGGTACTGGTCCATGCCAGTGTCCTCTCTCGCCTTGACTACTGCAATCCACTCCTCAGTGGTCTTATGTGCTCCCAACTTGCCCCATTGCAGTCTATAATAAATTTGACGACGAGGCTCATCTTCCTGTCTGTCCGCACTTTCCTCGCCTCACCCTTCTATCTGTCCCTTCACTGGATTCCTGTAAGATACATGGCTCAGTATAAAATTCTAGTTCTTGCTTTCAAATCTCTACATAATGCTACTCCCACCTATTTATCCTCCCTAATACACAAGTATGTCCCGTCTAGACCCCTACGCTCTGCCTAAGACCTGCATCTATCCTCTGTTCATACTCCCACCTCTGATGCTCGCATTCAAGACTTCTCTAGAGCTGCACCATTCCTGTGGAACTTCCTTCCCTTTTCAGTTAGACGCTCACCCAGTCTCCACTCTTTCAAAAAATCATTAAAAACTTAGCAAAATCATTGCAAAAGCATATCAATTAAACTGTTAATGGCTCCAAAAAAAACCCACACCAAGTCTTCATTGAATACTATTCTACCAATCTACTTTACTAATACTTCCCTTACCTTTTGTGTCACTTTACCCCACTCCTTCTAGCATGTAAGCTCATTGAGCTGGGCCCTCAACCCCTCTGTTTCTGTGCGTCAAACTTGTCTGGTTACATTTACATGTTTGTTAGTCCACCTATTGTCCACCGGAATCTGTTGGCACTATATAAATATAATAATAATAATAAGAGGAATTATGTTTTATTTTATTTGTATTAATATTTTTTTGTGGTGTTTGTGGCGAAAGTAACCTCACCACTTGTACTTGGAGGAGCCTGCTTGCCAGCCTCCTGCCCACACACTATGGGCCCTGCAGGGAAACCTGTAAAAGACTACCAAACTTGACCGACAGTTAGCACTGATTTCCCTGGAACTGTTTTGGGCATAGGACCATGTGCACGGTCTGTCAAAACTATGACTTCCAGGAACCCCTGAACCGATCTGGGTAATTTTTAGATATGTTGTTCACCCAAATCAGGGCTATGAGGGGATGGGGTTTTCTGTGTTTTTAAGGTACTTTTTGGGGTTTCATAAAATTTTATTTTTTTCTGTGCTTCAATTTCATAAAATTTTATGTTTTTTCTGTGCTTGGAGATAATTGGATTAGATTAGTACAGTTCCTGATTCAATTATCTCCCAAGCAGAGAGGAGGGATTCTATTGTTTGTGTGTGGGAGTGTCACATGTTGTAACTACACTGTTATTGGTCTGTAACATTATCACCCTGTGCCCCATCAGGTCCAGATGGGTGTTCCCCTTGCATGGGGACTTGCATAAAAGGCCAGCTGTGGCTCCATTAAAATCTGTTCCTGCTTACCCTCAACATGGAGTCTTATCTCATGTGTGGGGGAAACAGCTGTATCTATCCTGGGGATTGCTATATCACTATACTTTCCAGGAATTATAATCACTAGCTCTTATAGGAGCTGTTCCTGCTACCCTCTCTGGGAGTAGGAGAGACCTGCCCACTGGAAGCTGAATCCTGGTCTTGGGTGCAGGGTGGATGAAGGATGGCTAGACCCCGGCACAGCTGCATCGCTGGAAGTGGATTCTGCAGTGCTTATTGTGTCTGGTGGAGTGCTGGAATTGCTCTGTGAGCACTAGGAGCATCGATTGGCGGAGGCACTCGGTCGGAGTGCCAGGAGGTCCATCACAGTGTTTATTGATAGTATTTTTTTCACAAGTGTGTTGAGCCTATGTGTGCATGAGTCTGTATGTGCAAGTCTGTGTGTGTATATGAAAGTGTGTTTATATGAGTCTGTGTGTGTGTATATGAGTCTGCAAGTATATGAGTCGGTGTGTGTGTATAAGTCTGTACGAATATATTAATGTCTGTATGTAGAAGTCTGTTTGTGTTTATTAATGAGTGTATATCCACATTACTGGCAGACACTGACACACTCTCAATGACAGAAACACACTTTCATTGATTTGAAACACACTCACTGACAGACACACTTACTGACAGATACTGAGAGACAGACTCACACACTCAGTGACACATTTACACAGTCTTGCACACACACTCACATTCAAACTTTTTGCTAATGGAAATTTAGCCTTGGTGACTATGCCATGGATCCTTCAGGTCTGCAGAGGATAACTTTTAAGCCTGGCACATAGCATTGGACTTGCAATTTTGATCTCTATGAGTAAATAAATCATCAGGAGGCAAAACAAAACAAAAAAAAAATGATACAAACAATGGTGAAAATACGAGAAACAATTGCTGTATTTCATGAAATTTAATTTCTTTCTTTGGAAACAGAGAATTGTAATTGCTATGTTGGCTGATGCACTTTTACCAGCCAGTGTCATCAAAGAGTATATGCTTATAGTGACACCAAGTGTTCCTTTCCAATATGACACTTTTGTCTACTCTGTGTTCAAAATTATACTTTTTTTTAACTGTTATTATTTTTCTGTCAATCTTTGTTGTATTGTTTTATTGAGACATATAGCAAAAACACATAGCAATATAAAGGTGACAGTATCAGATATGAACAGGCAAAAGACACGCAAGACCAGCAGTCCATATGATGGACTCAGAGGCGTAACTAGAAACCATGGGCCCTGGTGCAAAAACTGCCCTCGGGCCCCCCATATGTCTACCTCCCGCCTCCCCTCCATATGTCTACCCTCCCCCTCCCATACGTTGCCCCCCCACACATGCAGACAAACATGCAGACACACAAGTAGACACACTCA